TGTCGAGCGACAAATTGTCAAACTTATTCGTACAGGTACGAATAGTTTGGTGGAGGGCTTTGTAATGCCGAAACGGTATTATCGTAGAGTAAGTCGCCCGACGAATCATTGTCGGTCAAGGCTATAATAATGATGATTGAATATTATGAGATGCTGCGTGATCGTTCCTTTCTCTGTTATATGTAAATACGACGGACGACTGAGGGAGAACAGAGAAGCGAGGTAGAAGGCACGTGTGTCGAAGAAGCATAAGTTAGTTACCGTTGGACCGGTAAAACTGGCAGATCGCTGCCGTGTACGAGAGTCGCGAATCGCTTGATATACGAGTGTAATACCGAGTGTGATATATCGTGAGTAATAGTGAGTATCAGTACGAGGTTGTCCAGGAGACGACCTACGTCGAGCTGTGTACGTGTGTGTGATCGCGGTAGTTAATCCTAAGTCCTCGTGAGAGGAGTGCGAAAGAGAGTGAGCTCGAGGTTGTGCTGGTGTGTGCGTGAGCGTGTGTGCGAGGCGTGAGAGCTGCGATCCGATCACCGCTGCAGAGGTGATCAAGCACGGACTCACCAGGCCACATTGCAACATCTGTTACAGGGACCGAGCCAACCAGAGGACCATCAACCAGCGAGGCAGCAGTAACACATCAGCGGCCGATTGAAGATCGAACGTCGTCAACGGTGAGCGAACGGCGCGACCGTTGTCTGCCTAAATCTTGTGTCGTTGTACTTGATACCGCTCGAGAGAGCTACGTTGTTAGAGAGCCACCGATGGTCCGGTCTCGCTCTCTCCGAGACCTGTTGTAGTTTCGTAATAATAAATCGTGATTATTTGTTTTCTTTGAAATAGAATATCGCGTGTCGTTATTTATGCGAGAATGTGTGAGTGGCAATATCCTTCTCCCGTACTGCATGCCTTCCACAGGTAGACCCTGGACGTACAGGACGGATCCATAAGCCAAGGGACACACATAACCGACGAGGTACGTCGGGGTAAGATATGAGGTTATAAAATAAATTGTACTTTATTGTATGTACAAGTAGTTTAAGTTCATTTGATACTTAGTTTGAGGTGGTAACTGTGGCTACTTGTCCAATAAACAAAATGAAATCTCATAGACTTAAATGGACTGATGCGATCTTTGGAATCTAGCGACAGTTCACTTAAAAGTGTCAAGCACTTAGCACCAAAAGTCTGTAGTCTTATAACACTGTATTTAACTATTTTTATATATCTAACTGGACAAATATTTTCAAATAGATTATGTAAAAAGACTGTTGTGCTTGTTTATTAAAAAAGAATTTTTTTATCTTTTACATCCTGATATAAAAAACATAAATAAATAAAAATAACTATAAAAATATAAATGCATAAATTAAAAAAATTAAATGTGTAATAATGTAAAAATTAAAAATGTTAGCCCCCTCTGAGCCCTTGGTGGCTTTCTTTATTTATTGTTATTATTATAACATATTTATTTATTCATTTATTAATTTTTTTCTGTTTTTCTAGGACACATTAAAGTAAAGTAACATGAGAGCCTTTTTTTAAGGTATACTGAGGAGCATGGAGGTGACTGAATTTGGCGAATTTTTAACAGCATACATAAATCCGTCCTGGCTTATTCCTTAATATCAATAATTCATCAAATGTACTTTAAAAAATATAAAATCTAATTGTCTATTTCAAAATGGGCAAAGCGATGTCATTCATAAGCATTTTCTGCTTTTCGAAAAAATCAGCTGACATTTTGGCGTGAGAAATCAGTTGATTTTTCAGTTGATTATTCAGCTGACTTCTCAGCTGATTTCTCGGGTGATTTTTTTCAGCAGGGAATCACGTTTTATTTGTTCACAACTGTGTAGCTTCAAATATTCTTCTGCATTTAAATTACTCCTTTTCATAAAATTTTCATGGCCTAGAAAGAGATGTTCAAGAATCCTGCGATTAAACACAAAGTATCAATTTTCTTATATAGCATACAAAAGAGAAGTACACATAACCAAAATACTTATATGTCAAATGCCTTACTTTTGAGTTTTTGACCTCCCAATTCGTAATTTCACTCAAAAAAACTACGTCCGAAAATTTACTCGCCAGGAATCGAACCTACGACCCCTTGCGTAGTGATGTTTCCGAGACTAGCATGCTAACCATTGACCCATCGACGACTCCCATTCAAAACATGGAAAAGTAAAAGTACAAATACTTTTTAGCCAGTTTAACTTGACTGTGTAAGCCTGATACCATGATGTGCTAATACATGGTATTTTTTAACAATATTTAATATAAATAACTTCATTATGCTCTATAATATTTCTCAGTGCCTATGAGATCAAACTGACCATACAGGGCTTCATTATTATGAACCAAAATACCCGCAAGAAAGTTTGGTAAAGATCTGTGACCCGGAGCTGAAAAACTCTCCTTGTAAGTTGATCATGTTCAAATCAACTTTTTACATAAGTGTGTAGAATCTCACATTAAAACTCCACCTATTCACTCATATTCATAACACTTTTGTCACTAATTTTACAATTAAAAAAAAAATCACTCAAAATGTATCACTAATTTTTTTATATGCATACAGCATGTAGTATTATTGTTTATACAGATACAACATACAATTATATATGATACAATCATATACACATGGGCAATATTGTGTCAACTGCCCCCTCCCCCCTTTGCTCTTTTTAATTGATTTTTCATATTTTAATTTATTTATATTAAAATTTATTTATTATTTATTTATTTATTTATTTATTTTTCTTTTTATTTTATTTTTATTTATTTTTTTTATTTTTTTTATTTTTTTTTTAGGCTTAAAATTCAAGAATTCTGAGCTAGCTCTATTCATTAAAAAACCTGCGAAGCAGAATATAAGCTAAAAAAATGCATCGTACAAAAATAGCTGTATCTCAGCGAATCTTGCGAATTTTTAACTTTTGAAACCGGCGTTGGAAAGGTGAGAAAAAAACCTATCAGATAGTTTCATGCAATTTTTTCCATAGTTGATTCTACTTAGTCATTTCTAGGAAGAAACTTATACACTTTTCGATTTTTCAATTTTTCGTACTGTCGTTTTTTGGGATAAAGTTGTATTTTTCTGCATTAAAATAATTTCAAAATGTATACTAATTTATACCATTGGATTTGTCATAAAAAATCCTAAATTTTGGTGGTGTCAAAAAATTTTCTAGATTTTTTCTGTTCATTTGCCACTCGCTTGAAAATGAACTTTGCGGAATTTGCGAAAAAGAACGATCGAAAAAGTGTATTTTTTTGAATGAAATTGTGCTCCTAGGTCAAAACTGACTACGGCATTCGATTCTGCAGACAAAAACACATAAGAAAATGTATTGTCAAGATTATTTTTACACTCTAAACAGAGTTGGAAATAAATCGAATAATAGCCCAATTTTGCTTCTTTTTTGGAGCACGTTTTTAAACTTCAAAAATCCACCGACACCATCTAAAATTATTTTTTTGAGTTCTAGTTTACGGGAAAATTTATTTTAAACCTCAAACTTTCTGATTCCGATAGATCCCCCGAGATACAAAAAATTTTTGAAAAAGTGGACCACCCTAACGTACATACACGCTGCATTCACACAACACGACGCGCGATCGTCGCATAGTGACATTGTCACAAGATATATGAATTGTTATCATGTTTATTTATTTATTCATCAATTTTTATTAATAATTAACGAATAAATAATATTGTTTTTTTTCTCGGCTATTTCTCTTGCCATTTTAGTTAGAAGGGGCGTAGAAACATTTTAAACCTATGGATTTGTAGGTTTTGACGAGACCTTAAAATGCTTTTTTTTAAAATGGTCCTACGACCTTTTTTCACAAATATACAGCCCTTTTACTGCGAAATTGACATTTTTATTTATTCACATGTACACCGCGTTCAAGAGGGCGTAGAAAAAAACTGTATATACAAAAAAGGTTGGTTTTTATGTGTACAATAAGAAGCGATAATTACGATCCGTTTATGAGAAAATTGTTTATTCGATTATTTATGCATGTTAACCCACCAACGCTCATAGTGACGAAATTTTTTGTTCGCCATCGATGTGATTTTTTTCCATGTTCAGGGCCTTGAGAAGACTTTGCTCATACGTTATTTTATATAAAATTTAATGCCCTTTCAGAATCTGGGCTCACATTTGAGATTTAATTCTTAGTTGAAAAGTTATAGTTGTTTGTAAAAAAAAAAAATTTTTAATTTAGGCGAAAAATCAACTTTGAGAATTTCGTTCGACAAACAGCTGTAACTTTTCAACTAAGAATTAAATCTCAAATGTGGGCCCAGATTCTAAAAGGGCATTCCATTTTACGGAAAATTACGTACGAGCAAAGTCTTTTCAAGCCCTGAACATGGAAAAAAATCGCATCGATCGCGAACAAAAAATTTAGTCACTTTGAGCGTTTGTGAGTAACGATCCGTTCTGAGGAAAAATTTTTTTTTCGATTATTTATGCATGTTAACCCATTAAAGACAAAAGTAGAAGCTACCTCCGCCCGCGATTCTTTACTTATCTCAACTGGAGTCGTACACAATTTAAACATATCACAATAGACAATATGACAACGTTAAAATTCAATGCCTCTCACCCACCTACTATCTAGATTTAATGTGTCTAGCTTATACTCATACCATCGTCCACCGCATTATCAGCCGATGCCACCGATCGTCATTCATTCACGTCGGAGTTATTTCGAATTTCACTTAAACTGTTCGCGACAAACGTTTTGAAATCGGCAGGATTTTTACACAACCAGTACAAAACGGTCATTAAATCAGACCAAAAAAATCTTTTCGAGACTGAAAATTTATGTTCTTGCTCTATGTATTTTGCTAATCTTACAGCGCACACTGCAGCTTGCAACTCTAACCTGGGAATGGTATTGGTACTTTTTGGCGTGACAATCTGACCTTTTGCCCTAATAAACGCAACGTGAAATTTATCCTCAGCCACTTGAAATTGTCAATATGTTATAGCTGCGTACGCAGCTAAGCTTGCACCACAGAAAATGTGCAACTCCACAGTTTTAAATTGAGCAATAGGACTCTGATAACAACGTTCTATCGACATCAACTCTATTCTTTGAAAGTTTAGAATCCACTCCTTCCACAACACGAACTCATTATCGCCAATAACTTCGTCCCACGCCACCTTGCTCGCCAAGACCTGTTACATGATTATACGCGCCTGCATAATGTAAGAAAGCAAAAAACTGAGAGGATCAAAAATTGACATGATTATTTGCAAAAACTGTCTTTTTGTTGGCTTTCTTATACCATTCAAAATTTCTACATCAAATTTAGCTTTATTAAATTTGAAAATCAATTTATCAGACACATTTAACCATCTCATGCCCAAAACTTTTTCTACGTTTAACGACTCATTCACTATATTGCCTCCTCACGCTCGTTAACCTTCCTCAACACGACATCTCTTAAAGCTGATTCAGAATTACTAGCCCAGCCGTGCATAACAAAATTCGCCTGATTATTAATCTCGATCACTTGCTGTATGTTCATATTAGCTTCCTCGTCCGACACAAAACTATCTAGAAAATCGTACATGTAGCAGTTTTCTATTACCTTTTGAGACGAGCACGGATATTTCCCTTGAAAGCACATCGCATTTTTATTTTTAATATACAACGCCGAACATGGAGACGACTTCACGCCGAACAAAAGGACACTCATCCTATACTCACCCGGCTCTCGTGACCTGTCTCACCCCTTCCAAAGAAACCTCTGCGCATTTCGATCGCTCGAAATAATATTTATCTTCATAAACATATCTTTAATGTCCGAAATTACTGCAACCGAAAATTGACAAAAGCGGATTAAAGTTCGTAGCATTTGCTTTAACGGTCGCGTCGACAACTAGCCTTTGGTTCTATAACTTTTTCTCGTAAAGTTGATGGTTATCGAGTTAAAAATTCTTGAACGTTCGGTTTCATTTTTGATTTTTGATTTAGGCTGAGAACGTTCAAGAAACTATCAACTTAACGAGAAAAAGTTATACAACAAAAAGTATTTAGAATTGATCAAAGAACACGCCTGATTTTTTTTAGAATTATTCGAGCGATTTTTGGAAAAATGGTGTTATCCAGGCGTGTTCTTTGATTCATTCTAACCACTGTTTATTCTATAACTTTTTCTCGTAAAGTTGATGGTTATCGAGTTAAAAATTGTCGAAATAATTTTATGACATACAGGTCTTCCGGAATCATAATTATAATCGCCATATTGAATTTCATAATTATAACTGAGTCAAAATAATACTTTTTTACAAAACTGTGGGCACGTATGTCACCGATCTTGACACGCTTTTGGTATGTTATAGTACATGGTAAAAAGGTCCCAAAAAAAAATTTTTGGACCCCCTCCCCTCTCCTACCCTCCACTTTCGGTATAAACGTCCATTTTCGATCTATATTTTTTCTGAGGACATGAAGCAAGTAAAAATTTTGAAAAAATTTACAAAAATACTTTTCAACAATCTAAACAACCTTGAATTTTTTCAGATTTTTTGAGTGCTTCAGGCCTTCAGAAAAAATTATTGAAAATTTCAAAAATCGAGACACGGCGGTATATGAGCCGATGTAGTACTCGGAAATTTTTTCATTTTTTTTTCGCATTAAAAAACATAACCTTAATTTTTTCAGATTTTTTCAGATTACCTAACGCACCTTTTGAAGCCAAAAACAGCTTTTTTTAACGAAAATAATTTTTTTAGGACGATACGGAGCCTCGAAAAATCTGGAAAAATTTTTTTCTTGTTTTTTTCATCAAAATACATGATCAGAAATTTTTTCAGATTTTTTAAATGAAGGCGATAGCTTCTAGGGCCGAAAAATGCTATTTTTAACAAAAAAAAGGTTCCTAGAACCTGATGGTTCCGGCAAAAAAATTTGAAAAATTTTTTTTAGGATTCCTTGACAAATTTATACATGCCATTGACCAAATCTATATGCGTGAGACGCACGAGCGAACCTTCTTTCCGTGTTGAAATTTGAGTTAAACGAGATTCTTTTCTCGAAATTTCATGTTTTTTTTTTACAAAATTGCTTATAACTTTTTATTATATAAATTTTTGACAATTTGGACCCTAGATTTGAAAAATACATTAAATTTTTCGTAAAAATTGATATCTAAAAAGTTTTTTAAACAATTTTTAATCGGTGTAATTTGTTGCTATATATGTTGTCCAAAAATGGTCATTGTAGGCGTTAAAATGCAACGAATAAAAACTTCAAAATTTTTCAAAGAATCTGCTTGAATTTTTTCAGATTTTTTAAGACCATCTATTAAATAATTCAAGAGGCCCAAGTTAGACGTTTTTTTAAATAGATTTTAGGACTTCTTAAAGAGAGTGGTAGATGGTCCCAAAAATTCTGAAAAATTTAAGAAGGTTGTTTGAAAAATTTTAAAACTTTTGTTTGTGTCATTTTTCCGTTTGAAAGATGACAATTTTCCAACTAAGATGACTGAGATTCAGAAAGCTGCATGGGTTAGCTTAAAAAATGGTGTGGACAATTTTCGAGGTAATCGCAAAAGCGATGATTACAAAGTTTTAATATCAATAATGATAAAACTGTAGTGATTTTAGCGACGAGCAAGGAGAGCAAAAATCTAATTTCAGTGAAATTCCTGGTTTTAAAGAAATTAACTGAAAAAACTTTATTGCAAAAAAAAAATTTTTCACCGTTTCAGTAAATCAAGTTTAAAGTTACTTCTGTTTCACTCAAAAATTATATCCCTCAAAAAAATCTTTTACTCCGATTTAATTCTTTAAATAATTTTTATTTAACTTTTTGTTAAATAATTTTTTAATTATTTAGTTTGATTCTCTGTTGGAGTGCACTTATGAAGGGTACTCAGACTATTGCATTCTATTACAATGGTGGTAGTAGTAGTACAATGTATCTTGTACGTATCTTATGAATACGCGTGACGAGCTCTCTGCTTGGGACCCATTCACGTATCAGCAGCATGTTTATGTGCCACCTTAGACCACCACGTTACTGGGAGCCAGTTTGTAAGGGTATTTCTATGCGTCTCCAGGAAAAAAATGACGATATGTTTTTAGGTTGAAATGAAATAATAAAAGTTTATTAAGTACAAAAATATTTGCTACTTAGTTGGTCAACAACGAAATGGGTACCACTACGTGATATGCGGCACGTGGACCGTAAAATACAAATAGAAAAATAATGATAATTCAATGCGTTGTTTTAATTCTTACAAATTCGTCTTTCAAATGTACAATTATTCACGTCTTTATTATTTCTACGTATTCGCAAGGTCACGGGGGGAAAGACTCGAATGCTACGTGAAAGAACCAAGCAATATAAAAATACCTCATGACGTTATTTCATCTTCACAAATGGCAGGAAAATGGAATTTGCCCCCTTCACTGAAACCACATGTTTTTGCCCATTTTATCATCAATGTTTACTGTTGATATGTTGTTCTAGAAGTAGAAATCAGCTACGCTCTTCACCGTAATCCATTACCCAGGTCGATATTAGTATCTATTAACCGAATCATAGAACTACTACAGTTTGGTTGAATCATTACTTAAAAAGAAATTGATCGATGATCCTAGTTGTTGCTGTGATTTAGAGGAGCAATCCCTAAATCTTGTTATCTGGAACCGTAAATTTTATAATACCGGAAGAAAATAAATCATTTAAGATCTTCGTAGATTGAATCTTCTGCTACCATTTAATATTGAGAGCATGAGGGCTGGACCCTGAACGGACGACGCATGCTCAACATCTAGTGGGCCGAAAAGCCAATATATTGGCGCACACCCTGATCGACCCTTTGCCCATGATCAATCAATGATTGAAGATATCTTTTATGGCAGTTTTGTATTGATGATATGATCTCTGATATCCGGGTATTCTGAAGGTTAATCATATGTAGTTTTTTGACAAACAAAAAGTAAGGGTGTATTCTAAATGTGCGCTCTTCGTTCTACCAAAACTCATGCTAAATATTTGTACAAAAATGTAATATTAAATGAACTGTGAAACATATTATCACTTGGATAATACGTCTCATGTAATTTTATGTAACGTGAACTTTTTTCTTCATAAACACTCAGTGGAATGTTTCGAACGAGGCCAATGCACTTTATTATAAAAAAATGTACTAATACGTATGTGTTTACGTAATAATGATTACAAAAATTGACCGTAAATGAATAATGAACATAATTAATCGTAAAGTATAAGATTATGTAGAAAATGGCATTTATATTATAACAATAGACCGGGACAAACGTTTGAGTTAAAAGGTTTTCGATTAAGAAAAAACTTAGAACTTAAAAAAAAGGCCAATGAGCAGTTTTAATATGTCAAAAACCTTTACAGCAGTATATTAATAAGTGGTAAAAATGTTAACTCAATTGGTTGGATAGTTTTTAAGAGCAGGAAGAACAAACAGACGTGAACTTTCTTTTGCATATCCAAGTGTCTATTCAGGGGTCATTTCGTTCACGAAATTCGAGAGATTTGAGTTTCGTGTACGAAAATTATCATTTTCTAGAGATCTCTGGGGTTATTTGGAGACTCGTATACCAACATACGAAAAATTTCGTGTACGAATTTTCCTCTGAATAAACAAACCCTTTACATATGAAGAAAATATATATCAATTTATTATTATTTATGACCATTTAAAGTGTTGAAAAAAATATTTTTTTCGTATAATTATACTGATCGTTGGTTTTTTTTTGATAATCTGGATTTTTAAAACTCATAACATTAATTGTGATTCTATTCTTTTTCGTTAGTTGATTGACTGCATATGATAATGCCACTAAAAAAAAAACGGCAAACAGACCAGTAGAAATGACTGTACTATAATTCAATGTCCTCGTAGAGAGTGATCGAATTGATTCTTGATCCAAAAATGGCATTGAAGCTGAAAAAATATGTAATCTGTGTATAATAATATAAATACAGTAAAATCTCCCAATAGCGGACACCCAAAAAACCTGGAAAAGTGTCCGCTATTGGGAAGTGTCCGCTATTAAGAAAAGTAGGAGGGGGGGGGGGGATTATTAATAATTTTTTTTCAATTTTTTTTGCATCAAAATGATCAAGTCAGTATTTATTTTTATTGTTTTAATATAAAACAATAAAATCAAAAATAAAACAATAATATTATTTAATATTAATTAAAAAAATCTGTGATATTTGTTTGGATACATTTTCTCTTTTTTAACATATCTTCTAGCAATGTATCCATTTTTATGCTCGTCTCAACTCCTTCTGCACACCCCGCCTTCAGGAAAAAATGTCTCAGCATTTCTGCGTGGTGAAATGCATCCTTCAAGCATACATTTTTTATTTGAGGCTCTTCAACTTCGTTTTCATCAATTAAAGAAATATCGTCAGTTTCTTCGCTTAATGCATTCAAAACAATATCACGTATATTAGTCGATTCATCTGCAGTTTCAAGATTTGAATCTACTGTCAAAAAATTGTCTGAGTGTACTTCATATGGTCGTAAAAGTTCTGCAAATTCTTCTAGCTCTACGAGCTCAGGTTCAATAAAACAATCATCTGTATCTTGGCTTATAAACCCACATTTAACAAAACAATTACGCACTGTCTCTTTTTTAATATCATTCACAGATGCAATTATCCATTGTATTGCATCTAGAATTGTGATTTTGGCGTTTGTTACTTTCTCAGAATCATAATCGGAATCATTATCAATAAATTTTAGGAGATGTTTTAATAATCGACGTCTATAATTGACTTTAAAATTTTTTATGATGCCTTGGTCAAGCGGTTGAGAGACACTCGTCGTGTTAGGTGGAAGAAAAATAATTTTTACATTTGTTAGCTGCATACTATCAGGGTGAGGGCCAGCATTGTCCATGAACAAAATAACGTTTCGCTTGGCATCTTGCATTTTTTGATCAAAGCTTTCTAAAAAATCCTGCATAATTATTCGAGTCATCCAAGCCTTTTTGTTATTTTCCCATCTCATCTTCAACGATTTCAAGTCAACTCCTTTGAAACAGTGGGGACGTTTTGCCGTGCCGATAATAAGTGGAACTTCAAAATCACCAGCTTGATTTACACATAACATCACGGTCAATCTTGGTTTTTGACTTTTGTTACCACTGCAATTTACGTTTGGCAAGCACATTGTTTTTGATGGTGTGGCTTTAAAAAACAAGCCCGTTTCATCGAGATTGTAAATGTCTTTGGCATCGTAATCTTTTACAATGTCTTTTAAAATCACCTTCCATTGGTCTATGGTTCCCTGGTCAACCGATGCAGCTTCTCCACTTATAATCTTGTACGCGATTTTATGTCGGGTACGAAATTTGGTTAGCCATCCATATGAAGCTTGAAAATCTGCTAATTGGTCGCCTTGGGTTTCTTTTAGTAATTCTGCGGCAATTTCGCGGGCTTTTTCCTGTATAAGCACCCCACTAACAGGAATGTTATGTGCCCTGGCTCTACAAAACCACTCGTATGTGAGCGAATCAATTGTTACACCACCGGTCTTTTTATATTTTTTTTTCGCTGTAAGATTACTATTTTGTGCATATAACTTGAGCAAATCATCTTTTTCTTTCAAAATTTCACCGATTACCGTCTTACCCACCCCATACTTTTCACCAGCTTTACGGTAACTCATATTAACTTTTTGCAATTCTTGTATTATTGCAACTTTATCCGCGAGCGATAATCTTTTGCGCTTTTGCGACATTTTTTAAGAGCTCTCTAACCGTGTCAAAATTTTGCTTTCAACTAATAATACGTTATTCTCATTCTCGTTTCGTCTCTAATTTTAAATCTCATCTAATTTGTAGAGGTAAACAAATCCCCTCTTCAAGTATTTACGCATTGAATTGATATTGACAATTTCATTAACAATTTATGAGTGTATATCATGAGTGTAAATTTAAAATTTGAAATCATCTGTCATAATAAAGAGTAACAATGTCCGCTATGGCTAAAAAATGGGTGTCCGCGTCCGCTATTGAGAATGTCCGCTATTGGGAATAAATGTAACACGAAAAAGCATAGTAAAAATTCAGGTCTTTTAAAATCGTCCGCTATTTGGAAGTGTCCGCTATTAAGAGTGTCCGCTATTGGGAGATTCTACTGTATATAATTTTAAATCTTATTTTAAGTATTTGCGACGCAGATCTAATATTAATGCGTTTCTAATTATAAGGTTCTTAATTTTGAGTTATAAATTTATGTTTTTCAGGATGCTGAAACCGTATTCGAGGTGCATTTTATAATTTTACAAAATACCAACGCACAACTCTCAAGAACCTTAAGGGCTTATTCACACATAAAAATCACATAATTTAAAAATGCATCTAAATAAATGTAAAAATAATATTTTCAAACCCCTTTTCTATCCAGGAATCATGCTGACGTGCCCCAAATTGACTTGAATATAGATTATCTACGCAAGACGGAATATTATCATGTTTATTGTACTTCTCCTGCATCACAGAATTCCAATAGAAAACATCACTCTTGAGACTCAAGTGGAGTACTATTCATAGCGGTCGTTTATCGTCGCCCAGCTCCTACTTATTCTAATACATTTTTCGACATGATTTGCTGCCCCCTTTTTACAAAGACGTAATCGTATTTGGCTATTTCAACATCAATGTAGCAAACTTCTTTAACAGATATGTTCTTTCTCTCTCACTTACTCTCTCTCTCTCTCTCTCTCTCTCTTTCTCTCTCTCTCTCTCTCTCTCTCTCTCTCTCTCTCTCTCTTTCTCTCTCTTATTAAGTGTAAACACGCGTTTGAATCGAGCTACTGCCGAAGTGTGTGACCTGTGCGGTGTTTACGTCGAACTCGTGTCGCTACAGACCTATTGTTATTGTTTGCTCGGACCGTGTTGATCATAGAACTCTGCTGCCAGACGGTCGTTATTATGAGTGAGTCCGAGGCCATTTTATCGCAAGTTCAGAGCCTGGTGTCGTCTGTTGGCGACCTCGTCACGACGAGAACGGATTCACTCGCCGCTACTCTGCACCAGACCAATACAAAGATTGATTTGTTCAGCGCTGCGCTGTCTGACCAGGCGGCGCGCCTTTCGGCGATGGCGTTGGAGCTTGCTGACGTGAAGCGGCGCCTGACGACGGCGCGTCCTGGGACCGAGGTCCGTATTAAGGGAGTGCCGCTATCTGTACCGCATGATACTCCTGAGCTTCTGCATGGTGTCGCCCAGGAGGTGCTTGCGCGCATCGGCTCTGAGTCCTTATTATCTTCTTTGAAATTAGCATAAATAATCCTAAAGCGACACTAATCGGCCGTTATACACCTGCCCGTGCCTCAATAGCCGGAGAAGGTGACTCTGATTTAATTCAGATGGAGGATAAGTGTCACCGGGGTAGAGAACGGCTAAAAGACTAGCACATGCTTACAAGCATCGAAGAGTTAATAGTAAGTCGATTCACCAGACTTTTCCGTTCTCAACTCCACACACACAAATACGCAAAGACACAAGTGAATGGTCTGTATCAGCGTGTGTAGTAGTAGGAAGTGATTGTCCTCAAGCATAACGTGATTTTCTCTCCTCAGTGCGGTCGTACCACTAGCCGGCATCATCGGACAAGAGTCACGATAGACGAGAGGCCAAAAATGTTTCAACGTCAGAGCAACGCAAATAATGCAAGTTTCTTTTCTTTTTTATAAGTTCTTCACTAATCTGCCGAATCCTTGCCGTGTATTTCCTGCTATGTTTTCTCGGTTGATATAAAAAAATAAATAAATAAATAAATAAAATAAAAAAAATAACATCACTCGAGAGAGGTCATAGCATACTCTCGTGATTAACCTCTGTGCGGACAAAATAAACAAGTACGTGTACGCGCACAACACATAAGCGGGAATCTTATTTGGGTAAAGTCTCGTGCGGACGCGGAGACACGAAGAGACGCAAGCGCGACCTCCCCTCCTCTCGCACTCGCCGTACGAGATGAAACTGCGTAGTAGCCAAGTACGCGTGGGGGTACACATACCGGGCGCTATTGGGAGAATCCGCGAAAGCTCGTGAACTCGATATTTCTTTCCACAAGAACAAACATCCTTGTAGAAAACTGTTGTGAGTCGAACTTGATTCGTGACAATAGTCCTATAAGGGCCAACCGAAGCGAAGACGCATCGTCGGGCCGGAGCGGAATCGAATATCCAGTTACTGTTTATAGTCCAAACTCATTACTTTTTCTAACAATTTACGAGAAAAGAAAATAAAGATAAAATCTTCCTATAATCAGTCTGACAGTGTGTTACGAATCCCATTCATTTTCAATCTCCTAAGAATATTATAATATCAAAGTTGTTAAACCTCGCCTGCTGTAAAAAAAAGGGACACGTACAGATCACAACTATTACGCCGCGCACTCGCGCGCCTACGCAACGAGATCCAACAATCTTGCAATATATAACTACACCCTCGAGTATCAGATAATCTCTATTAAAAATTCAAGCAAAATAAAAACTACTCTTCGCAACTGTTTACCGGAGCCCGGACGCCAGTTACCCGGAGGAGTTTTAGAGGTGTTTTAACGTCTTCTGCCTCTTTACGATAATGTGATCGTGACCAGGGATTTCAACATTCACGTGAATAGGCCGAACGATAAATACGTTGGTCGCTTGATCAGGCAGCTGGAGCAGCTGTCCCTTCGACTCGTCAGTACAGTCCCGACCCGTCATGTAATATATCACGATGGGTCCATTCACGAGAACTGTCTCGATTTAGTCATAGTACGCGACATGTCACTTATCGAAAATTTCTCTCGCACACACACTCACATACAATCCCATAAATAGGAGCCCAAGGCGAGGACTCACAAGACTGGAAATAGATGGAGCACAACACTCCCATGATGAACTCAGAAGCGAGAACTACACTCAGAAGAGGACGCCGAATGCGGAAGCTTAGGCTCGTTGGGTGACGCATGATGGCGCCTAAAGCGAGAACCTCACTCACAAGACGACAACAGAAAAGGAATATCAGAAACTCACCGGGACTCGGAGAGTAGCGCCGGAAGTGAGAACCACACTCACAAGATGGCACTAGACAGCGAGTTCTAAAAATATCTAACTCAGGAGGAGATGCCAGCAATGTGTGACCACGCAAAAGATACAGCTCTGAAAAAGGGGACACGACAATCTAGAGATGGCATCGCGCAGCCTCGACCACTTCTCGGCTTGCTGTAAGGGACCTGATCGCTCGGCACTCCGTTTCCGCTACGGACAAGCAGGCCACCAAATAAAGAACTGCACGAATGATCCAACGTGCGTTCTCTGCCAAGAATGAGGCGCTGTCTACGACCATGCGTCTACAAGTCAGTACTGCCCTCTCACACAGAAAACCACTCAAGCCCGCCGATGATGAGGATCTTACAGCTTAACCTCAATCAATGCGAAGCTGCTCAGGATCTCCTGAGCCAAACTATTCACGAGCAGCCCATCAACGTGGCCATAGTGTGTAATCAGTACAAGGACTAAGATCCACCCAAAGATGGTTTGCCGATGCCAACAGCCAAGCCACCATCTGGGTGCAAGGAGACAGCCTGGTGCAGGAATACCCAGCAAGAGCGCATCCTTTTTTCACCTGGACCTGTATCAGAGGAATCTATTTTTTGATCGTCTATGCTCCACCAAGACTCACTGATGTAGAATTTTTCGCCCTTTTTACCAACATCACCGAGAAAACCTGGGACCAGAGGCCGCTCATCGTCGCAGGCGACTTCAACGCGTGATCAACGGAGTGGGGATGTCGAGTAACGAGACAGCGTGCCACCGTTCTTTTAGACGCGCTCGCTTCCCTCAAAGTAGTACTGCTAAACAGTGGAGATGCACCAACATTCACAGGTGCACTGGACTACTATGAGATATATTTCACCTCCCGACAGTGACACACTCGCTTCCTAGGTTTCATCATTGGCCGTAAGCGAGCTCTACATGGATAGCGATTATCAAGCTATCGTGTTTGAGATAGAGACAGCCAGACCACCTTGGTCCACGACGCGCCAAAGCTGCAAGTGGAACGCCCACACTTTTGCCACAGAGTGCCTCTCAGTCATGATGGCCAGTCCGTGGATCTACACGGGCTTATAGAAGAGATGGCGGCGAGGTTCATGTCCGCCATTACCAGTGCATGTGATGCCTCTATGATCAAGGCCTGGGTACGACGCCGTCGTGGCACGGTACTGGTGGACAAGCGAGATCGCCGACCTCCGGCAATCATGTCTACAAATACGAAGGCTTGCCCAGAGAGCACGTGATTGGCCAAATGAAGAATCCTGCCGAACGAGCTACGCCTTCGCAAGACGTCTCCTGCACGCTGCTATCAAGACCAGCAAGCGCCTGTGCTGGAACAAACTTTGCGACGAGGTCAACGAGGTCATCACTTCATTGTGTGTGGACTGAGGTTCAGAAAGCATAAACCAGACATGAATGTGTTTCTTCAACCGTTTGTAAGTCAAACGAATAGACTAGCAAATGATGGTATTATGGTCAGTACGCCACCCGAGTCTCACAAAATATTTGTGTATCCAATTTGTTCTTGTGTTAATTCTGTTGCGCGTGCACCCACTTTGTTATCACTTAGGTATCACGCAATTCAACGGATATTTTGGATGTAATTGGTGCTTACACCCAGAATATTATATATGTATAGGAAGAGGTGGAGATGTCAAGTATATCCTTATGGAAGATGTAATCCTTAT